GAGAGCACAGAAAAGAGACCAGCTAATATATTGCAATCGTGATTGGTCAATCTCTTGAAATGAGATCAAATCATTCAAGCATCACTGGCGTTAGCTCAGTGGCGTTAGCTAATCTGGGGTCTGCAGGTAGCGTTAATAACGCCAAGGACGTGGCCTGTCTCTTATACACATCTAGATGTGTATAAGAGACAGGCTTTAACAACGCCACTGCTTAGTTCACACACAAAGGCGTACGCTACGCCAGGCTTAAGCCAGCCTTACGCCGTGTGTGTGAACATAGCCTTTGGGCAAAAAGTTTCAGAGATGAGCAGCCTCAAGGCAGAGTAGCTTGCCATCAGTTGAGGAAAAGTGAAACTTGAGCTCTTCATGAACAATCACCATGGTAGTTCCAATCTCCCCCCCCCCCCACTAGTAGATTTTGGATATTTTTTCACAGTGCATGCAACTCTAAAACACAGCCATGTTGGTTTGTTGAAAAATGTAACAAAACTACATACACTCTTTGTTTATTTATATTTTTTTTTTTTTGTGAGTCAATTGTTGAGGTGGTTTGCAACAGACAATAGGGAACTTTCGATTGAGAATGTAGAACGGGAACGTCGAACTGATTCACTCATCCGTGACTGTTGTCAAATGCATTCTACTTTTTCGATTTAAATTTTTTTTTTTTACGACGCGCACACAGTTATGTCACAGACACAAACAATTTTTTAACAATACACTACATATACTGAATATTTTTCTTATTTGATTTTTTGCAGCCAAGCAAATTATCAGCTCAACAGAAAGGTCTTCAAAAGGTGGATAAATCGGGAATGAAAAGCATATCCAGCTTCTTTCGCAAGTCTACCAAATGATCATATTTATATCAATGTTTGAACTTTGAACTCAAGAGTGTTTCCATCCAACAGTGCAGTAGTTAATTAGATGTGACACATTCCAGTATTTAACAATATATTAATTGACTTTTCACAAACCAAAGGTTGAAAGCTACTTTAAAAATGTTAGAAAATTCATGACAGGGCAAAATTAGCATTGTTAAACAACTTTACATTATTCAAATATGGCAATACTCTTGACATTGATTTGAAGATTATAATGATTATGATTATGATAATAAGATAATAATGACAACACCTGCAACTGTAAACATGTTGACTGTTTTCTAGTTTAAATGCAGAATAAACTTGTAGGCCTACACCAACCCTACAACCCTGTTCTATTTGTACCATTTTTTTTTTCAAAGTTGTTTGTACCTTTTCAGTTTGACTGCACAAAAATGTTAGTACCAAGAGCCTGAGGAACATTGAACTTGGTGAAATTACCCAAGGTGTCCACTTTTTTTTTTTTTTTGAGCAAAATGTTACTCTAGGAAGAATAACCAGGTTATAAGTAGCAGGACAGCCAAGGTGTACAGTCTGGCTATGTTAAACCAGTGGAATTGTGTGTAATTAAAAATTGCATTGCATGCACACAACATACAGTGATCTATAAATTCCAATCTGGATTTAGGGGGAGTTATTCGACGGATTCTTGTTTGATTTATTTACAGTTAACAGATTCAGTTGTCATCGGGTCTTCACGTGGGCATGATTTTGCTTGATTCGAGTTTATTTAGCCATCAGAGTAAAATACAACAACAAGGAAGACAAGACAAGGTGAAACAATACAGTTGAATACTCTGAAAGCATGGAATAGCCCAAAAAGATTTCAAAGAAACGTATTTCGATTGGGATCCTGCAAACGAAACATTCAGTTGCCAAAAAGAAGGACAGGAAAGGGAACACAAAGCTAAAATGGAAAAGGGATTATGTACAATTTTAAAAGTTATATATAAAAAGATCAACAATTTAAAAAAAAAATACCAATAAGACCAATTAAAACTCGTAAAAAAAAAAGACTTACTGAACTACTATACATTCCAGAGGTGATCTTTGAGGGACTTTTTAAATGGGTTTAATGAAGTGGAGAGCTTAATTTGTGTTGGTAATCTGTTCCATTCTTGAATTCCTGTGAAATAAAAAGTTTTGTCAGAAGTTCAGTCAGTTTAAATTTATGAGTTAAATAACAAGGGGCGGTTTTATTAAAAATTTTGTACACATTACATAATCTTAAAAATTTAGCTCTATTGTAAACGCTAAGAAAACCATCTCTTAATTCAGATTAGCCAACATGTGCACGGGGATTTGATTTCGAAATAAAACGAATCATTTTGTTTTGAGAAATCTGATGTTTTTTTGCAAGGTTTTTAGAGATACCGGAAAACCATGAAGATGATGCATAATCAAAAATAGGTTGAACCAGAGCAAAACTAAGTAATTTGCGACTTTTAAAATCAAGATGTTGTGACTGACGATAAAGAAATTTGAGACGAGGATTAACTTTAGAAATAATTGATTTGGCAAGAGTTCGCCTGCACTTGTTGGTTAATCTGAACGCCCAAGTACTTGGGATCAGAGAATAAAATTGCACAGTCGTCCGCATATAAAAGAACCTTACACATTGGGTCACATTAAAAGGTATACCAGGAATAGAAGAGGCCCAAGAACACTGCCTTGGGGCACTCCACACTTGATTGGCAGGATATCAGAGAAAGCACCTTTCGTGTAAACAGACTGTTTACGGTCAATTAAGTAGGAATGAAACCATCCAATTGAAGAACAGCCAATGGCTGAAAGTTTATCACATACAATTTGCTAATCAACGGAATCGAGGCTTTTCGAATGTCGATCAATGCCATTCATGCAAATACACCGCTAGATATGCTGTCTTTTACATGATCCATGAGATGAATTAGACAGGTTTCTGTAGAGTATGACTTTCTAAAGCCCGACTGATAATTATGGATCAAATAATTGTTTTTCAAATGAGTAATAACTTGCCAGTAGACTGCTTTCTCAAAAATTTTAGAGGTGCAACTTAGGACACTTACTGGTCTGCAATTATTCGGGTCAGTTCGACTCACCTTTTTAAAAATAGGCCTAACATTTGCCAGTTTGAGTTCCTCGGGTTCAACTTCTTTAATAACAGATAAATTAATAATATGCGTAAGAGGATGCTTAATAAAATTATAGACCCATCTCTTAGGAAACGAGCAGGGATTTTATCTGCTCCAGTACCTTTGCTGTTGTTGAGATTGATACAGATCTAGATAATATACAAAAGGCTTTTGACAGCGTTGATCATGATATTCTATGTGACAGAGTGCTCTTGGTGTCATGTCAGTTGGGTGGTTAATCTTTCAAATCGGTCTCAAGTAGTCTGTCAATAACTCGCCCTCGAAACCCATGCATGGGTCCCACAGGGGAGCATACTCGGTCCACTGCTGTTTATATGCTTTGTGAACGATATGCCCACTGCCGTAAAAAATGTTTACTTCTTCATTTTGCAGACGAGAGTACATAGATTTATTCTGATAAGTCTCTCGATGTCATCAAACACCTTAACCACAGACCTTGAAGGCTGTGTCGACTGGCTTCTAGACAATAAAATGTCGCTACATTTCAGAAAGACCAAGCTAATTTTCTTTGGTTCTTCCGTTAAGGTGAAGGAAGCCATTAACATAAATATTACCTGCAAAGCCCATAATATTGCTGCATCTTCCAAAGTCAAATATCTTGGTCTTTAATTTGATAACACCCTTTCTGCAGGCACTATTGTGTTGACAGTATTGTAACAAAAGTCAAATCCCGTTTAACATTTTTATATAGGCAAGCTAAGTGTTTTGATAGCAAGGTAAAGAAAATCGTTTGTTCTGCCCTCATTCATACTTTGCATATTTGATTATTCTGTATCATCGTGGTATTGTGGAATTTCATCTGGCCTGCAGAAAAAGCTCCAGATAGCGCAAAATAAATCTATTAGATTCTATTAGATTAGATTAGATTTTATATGAAGGCCCTAGATACCACATGCTGATGATTATATTAGTATCGGTATGCTGAATGTTGCATCTAGAGCTAACCAATTAAGACTCAACCATATGGTTAAAATGTTTAATTTTTCCTGCCCTGAATACAAATGACAATTATACCAAATTATCCGATCTTCATCGTCTCAATACAAGGGGCAGCAATTTTAACTTTCATGTTGTAAAGACCAAAGGCGAAATCACTTTTACTTTCTTTTATTCTGAAATCCATGATTGGAACAGCCTGCCAGACGCAATAAAAGCAATTTCTAATTACAATTCAAAAAATTGTAATTAAAAATCAAAATTCGAGTTAAGGAGCATTTCTTGTCATGTTTCCCCTCACTAGTCCATTAATAAATTAATAATGACAATTGTAACTGCGTAAGATCTCCGTTTTTTCCTCTGTTCTGGAATACTTTTTTCTTGCATGTTGACTTTTATTCATTTTTCCTGCCATTTTTTAATTTTTATTTTTTAGGTTTTTTGTATTTTGGGACCCCTCTGGAAATAAATCCTGTGTTGGGATTTAGAGGGTTTTCCCAGATATCAACAATGATGACTTGCTTGTTTTCTCATTTTTGTTTCTCTGTATTCTGTTTTTCTGATTTTGTGATGTTGTTCTGTTGATATCAAATAAATCAAATCAAAACAAATTTTAACCCGTCTACATTTAGATGCATGTTGTGGTCACGAGATAGAACACCCATTGTGTATTGAAAGGTTTAGCCAAATCTTACTCTTTATCTTGGTTAAAATTAATGTAATGCAAATATGAGTGGATGCACTCCCACCCCTCCCCCCTTCTTTTCACCATGGCACCAAATTAGTTCCAGTAGGTGGGGTAAAATACTAAAAAATACCAATAAGTTTTCATTTGGTTCTGCATTTTTAATAATTTCTTCTCTCAGTAAGGATTTTTTTTTTTTTTTTTTTTTGCTCAGCGAGGCTCACAAATAGGCAATGCATTCATTGGTTTTCGTCAATGCTCTATAATATAGAGAAAATCCAGATTGGTACGTAATCTTAAAAATGTTTAATGTAAACAATAAAACATTGACGAATTTTCGACTTGTGCACGGGCGATTTGTGCTAGGTTGACTCGGTAAATAATAATTGAAAAATGAAGCTTGTTGCTGCTAATGTAGAAAACAGCAGCTGATGTAGCAACAAGCCATTAATGTAGCATACTCCACCGCTTGTGTAGTAAAACACCCCGAATATGTCGAACAACTAACAGCTTTTGTAGTAAAAAGAAAATCAACACCAGCTAATGTACATGTGACACGGCCAACAGCTAATGTAGTAACAATAATTGCCTCACAGCTAATGTAACTATTAGCGCTAGCTAATGTAGAATATTACAATATTACAATACCATTTGCTGAAAAACATGTAAGGAACTAAAATCAAGTTGCCTACACGTTTCCCAATTTTAAAAAGTGGCATCTATAACCCCACTTCCCAAACTTTTTTCTGTGGGACCCCATTTTTGATATCCCAGACAAGTCACGACCCATAATATTAAATGTTATAGTAAAGTTCATATCGACCTTTTATAAGACCACCAGGGGTGGCGTCAGGATTTGCCCGACGGGGGATGGGGGCGAATCCCCTGACGGGGGGTCAGATTTCCCCGACGAAAGCAATGTGGGCGTGGTCGAGCTTCAACTAAAAGGGTTCGAACGTGGTCCAGGGAGCGAAGCCCCCGAAGATTTTGACAATTAGGGGTTTCAAGAGCTTATGTAATCGATTTTAGAATCTACTAATATGTAGAAAATACATACAATTTTTTTTCTCCCCGACGAATTGCCTTTTTCTCCCCGACAAAGGGGGGGGGGCAGCTCTCCCCGACGGGGGGCCTAGTTCCCCTGCTGGCGCCACCCCTGAAGACCACAAAAATGTTATGCTAGCTTAATGTTTTAAAAAATGACTACTTGACATTGTATAACAAGGATTTTTGTTTACTAATGATGTTTGAGAAAACAGTGGCGGATATAGGAATTTGTAATAGGCGCCCAAAGAGAGATTTTCACAGAAACAGGATCTATTCACCTCAGCCCCACCATGGTTGAGGGTGAGGTAATGCATTTTATGATTAAGGCACCCATAGTAGGCCGGAAATGGCACTCTCAGATTGAATTTGAATAAAATATTTTCCTTTTTATTCTCCATTTTTTTTTCTTAATTGGAAGGTGGGGAGGGGGTAGAGCCTTGAATCCGCCACTGGAAAATGAAACAACTTATTATTTGAAACAAAAATATAATCGACTTTTTGCAGAAAATATTTTTAAACTTTGAATTATATATTTGATGAACTTAAACATACACGACGTTTACACGGCGTATCCAGGATTTAAGAAAGCGGGTGCTGATGAAATAAGAGTCCACGCGGCGGTGATTTCAGAAAATATTCAGTATTTATACCTCTGGATGTCAGGAATTTTTTTTTGACGAACTGAGTAAAAAAGACACGAATTAATTATACAGGTGCTCGAGAATGGCACATACTTACAATTCCAAAAACTACCATATCCACCTGAGAAAATTTTAAGAATTTAAGACTTACAGATTCCGAAAATAGCACTTGAATAGTACAAATTCTACGATATCCACCAGAGCCCCACCATCGCAAAAACCCGAACCCGGCACCTTTTGCTGTTATGCAGACGTTTTAACAATTTAAGCCATTGAGGCTTTGCAATTCAAATCATATTCTGACACGCCTATATATAGTAATGATAATTATTATTATTATTATTATATATATATATATATATATATATAGTATAATATATTATAATATAGAATAATATATATACAATATTATAATATAGTATAATAATTATATAATAAATTATAAAATATATAATATATTTTTTGTTTTTTAATAACGGTTAATGACGCTTTTAATGTAGCCCTTTTGGCGCTGATTAAACCTTGTGATTGGTTGGAATTGAACAACGTAACGGCGTTAAAGAAAAGACAACGGCGTAAATGTATTTATAATGTGTTTTGTATGTTTTATCTTCTCCTTGTTTGGAGGTTTTTCGATGAATAAATAAATAAAAAATTATGGCCCTGATGGCTAACCATATGCTTCGAGTCCTGGTCAGTCACCCACACGCACATAGACGTTGTAACGTATGACCATGCCTATCATGGAGTACTGGTACCCGTTTTGATTGGTTTAGAAATTGTAATGGGCTCAACCTACGTACAAAGAAAAAAAACTCGCCACCAGCAGGCAAACCAACTTCAAATTGATTTCAAAAACAGTAAATGAAAAACATTTTGAAAATAGTAACAACGTCATTTCCGATGTGCACCTTGTACAATATATTGTTAACCCGTGATAGTCCTTGTCTTCAGAAGGATTGAGCAAAAAGCTTGTTACTTTCTGGATGCATGCGAACACAATTCTGTTCAAACATGGAGAAAGTGTTTCAAATGACAACGCAAGAAAACGAAGTGACAGAAACAAGAGATCAACAAGATTCCAATATTTCCACTCCACCTCGATTGATGTGTCCTAGCAGTCATTCATTGAAACAGCAATTATTCCGCTTGTTATTAGCGTTCGGAATTTTGATATGGATCAGCAGTACCGCAGTGATGATATCCTTCATAAGTTCTCACAGAATTCTTATTAATCACTTGTTGGCAGTTGAGGTAAGATATAGGCCTACAAAACAAACATTAAATCCTTTCGATCGACATGTAGCTGGTCACTATGGATATAAAAATACTTCAGAATTGTATTCCTTTTCGGACAGTTCAACTTTTAACTTAGAATAATTCATGCTCTTTAGGTTTCTTATATATTTCAACTTAAACCTCAAGTTACATATCGCCTTAAGACGGTCTAATATTTTGTAAGTCCATACGGACGAATTTCGGGAATCTAACCAGTACGAATCAGAAATAAGAAAATAATGTAAACAACATAAGGGTAGGAATAAACAAACATTTTTTTGTCACGAGCTAGGCGAATTGACCTGAGGAAACACGAAAATGTCGACAATTTCATTTGGGTTTTTCAAAGTCAAAGTTTTGTTGTTTTGTAGCCCAATTAATGATGAGACTGCGGCCTAAGAGCCGTCTTGTCTCACACCATTTCTACATCTATTTGACAGCATTATAATACAAAAAAGGTTACATTTAATTCTGTTCTTTTTTTTTCAGGAATCGAACCTCCAGATTCGTGACAGTGGCAGTGAGTACAATATTTGTATCGGGTCGCAGCAGTAATACCATAATATACCATTATAGTTATCACATGGGCGGGCTATAATCATTGCCTAGGGTATAGATATTCTTGGATCCGCGCAAGGCGGACCACAGAACCTCCAACCGATTCTAATCAGGTTTGGTGACGGCATCATGAACGGTGATGACGGTCACCGAAACTGATACGTATCAGATCTATTGTAGAACAAGGTGAAACCCGAGTCGGAGGGCTCAATGATAAATTTAAAGTGACGAGGCCCTGGCAAAATAAGATGGTATGTGGTGATTTTTAAGTACTTTAGCGTTATTTTTTACTTTAAATTTTTTTGAGGACGTGCTAGATACCACACTGCTAAAACGATTTTAGAAACATAAATGCGTAATAATAACGTAATTTAAAGAAAATAGCAAATGGTGCTGCAACGTATGAGGGCCCCTTGATCAGCTCTTAAGCAATGGGGAGCTGAAAGGGTCACCCTCGTTAAATTTGGTTAATAAATAAATAAACATTGTGTTGATGTTATTTTTGTATACGTAACCACGAATGTTATATTATGTTTTGTGTTTGCCGGGTTTATCCATAATAAGCAACGGCTAACGGCTAAATTTTGTTATATTTAATTAATTAACTGGTGTAAAATTACGTCTATATACTGTACATATATCAAAGATTTCCAATATCGGTCATAAAGCGGCAATTCCGCTCACTCACACGTATACAGGAGTACAGTTTGATATATTTTTCTACTTTCCCGGATAGTGTATAATGTGTGCAAATTAAAGAGGATGCTTCTGTTCAAAATGAAATAGTAAATATTTTGAATTGCTACTACATAAAATGGTATAGACTTAGTTGAAGACATTTTTATCAAACAAGGAATTCGAAATTCTGTAAAATATTTTAAAAAAAAACCCCAGTTTTCAATCATAATCTGTTGGACAACTAATATATAGGCGTACATATATTATATAGGCCTATTATAGCCTAATGAAAAATCAATCTCCTGATATGAATTATTACCATTAAAATAGCAAATGATAGGCCTATGTGTAGTTTATTAAGTGTACATTTGTATTATATTAATTATATTAACCACTTTCAATCATCTAATGAATTTATATAGCCGAAGTTAGTTTCAACCTAGGCCACCCTCAAAAAAGAGATTATAGTCGTGCAGATTTTAACCATGCTACAATATAATGATATTGATAATGACACGCTATCATAATAATTAAACAGGACGTCAGTCTGCATCCATAGTATAATTATGTATACTGACATTACATAAACATAAACCAATTACTTTTCTTTGACATTTATATACTACGTAAGTACAACCTCGAAAGGAAGCCAAACACTATAGATATCATTAGAAGCCCATGGGCTTCTTTTCGAGATAGGTTTTTTATTCAAGATCACCATTGCAAACTATTTAAGAGGGTTGGGAGTGTACTTCTTTTCGAAATGTGCTTCTTCCCGAAATTAAGTCCATTGGGCTTCTATTCAAGGTTTTATGGTATGCCAGCGGATGTAAGTACTGTACTAACGGTAATTTAAAACTTTAAATTGAGTTCAGTGTACCCTCTTTTGCAGAGCCAAAAACTTACCGAGGCAAAGTTACCTATCAACACTGGGGCCGTGAGTCATGTTCAGCAACTGCGGAGTTGGTTTACAAAGGTGAATAATTTATCAAACATCGGTACATTATTGTTATGATAATTTTATGTGTAAGTCATTAACTAAACTGTATGACATAATATATCATTAGGTCTTATTTATCCCTACTACTTGCGTTTAAGCAACACATAAAATACTTGCACTTCTAACATTAGTATTACTATTCTTTTAGGTGTTATGGCAGGAGGTATTAATAAGTTTCTTGGGGGTGGAGTAAACTACTTATGCCTTCCTGAACAACCATCCTATGGTTTCACTGTGCCTGACATCCAGGTTTACATGGCTCCAATTGGGGCGACAGTGTATCGCGGCTTAAGGAATTTTTCAACGATGGACCATTTACACGGATATGAGGCTTTTTGTTCCGTTTGCCTTGCCGATCAAAATGCAATATTCGTCATGCCTGCCCAAAGTACATGTCCATCCGACTGGACATTAGAATACAGTGGATATCTTATGGGTTCAAGGTCAAACAGGAAAAGAACCGAGTTCATTTGCGTTGATGTAAACTCAGAGGGTCGCGATAGTACTAGAAATATTAGCTCAGGATTAAGTGAGGTTTTCATCGCAGAGACTCACTGCGATGAAGGAACTACCGGTGGTGGGTTGCCTTGTCCACCATATAAAAACGGGGCCGAATTACCGTGTGCAGTGTGTACAAGATGAATATAATGATGATTGTTGGTCTCTGCAATTAGTGTTTTACTTTTGTATCTGCTTCTATTTGTTTTGTGAGATGATACGTAACTATTTAATTTTACTATAGGCCTATTTTTAAATTTTTAAATTCATCTTTTCTACGGCGTTTCTAAATTACAATCACACATTAAAAGCTTGAGTTCTCCAGCTTCGACTTAATTTAGATTGCAGCTTAACGCCACCATTAGACCACAGAGGCTTCATGGTTGAACATATTCAAATTACTGCCAGATACACTCTATTACACAATAAGTACGGCTGGAAACAAATAGTTACATATTATTATGATATAAATCAAGAAAACCGTAACACTGTTAAATTATATATAAATCATCAAAGAAAGGTAAATACAGTGTTCGAATAAAGGACATGATGGTACATTGTGTAGCATAGCTCTCAACGAGTGTTGTCCTATAAATATATACATTGTGTAATAAAATTACTTTACTTTAAATCATGTTTGACTTGTGTGCGGATCGTTCGTAATGCTGAAATGAAGGTACTAACTGTATGAATGTTTTATACGCCCGACATACAATAATCGTCCAAAACTCCCTCAAATTCGGAGGTCGTCTTATATACACGCATCGCCTTATACCCGAGAACTGCTCCCAGGGTTAGGCCTATTTCATAATACTGTACTCCGTTATGCTGACAGAAAGAAGCTTCCCAGTATCACCTATTAAAGGCATAACTTGACATCATTAAAAAAAGAGATATACAGAGGCGGCGCCAAGAACTCCCCGACAAGGGGTCTACGCCTCCACATCCCCTCCCCGTCGGGGAAGTCTAATCCCCTCCCCGGTGAATTTTTGTTATTAAAAGATAATAAAATGTTGTGTTAATTATGAGATTCTTTATTTAAAAAGGATTTCGGGGGTACTAGTCCCCCCCTGTAAGAAGGTGCCAACCCCCTGTCGGGGAAGAGCTGGCACACCACTGCAACCCATGCGATCGCAATAGTATACAACACCTCGCACTTATGGTAGCACTGCTCGCACTAAACCGTTTTTAATCCCTAAAATGTTGACAACTTGGAAGACATGCTTGAATTGTACTTTCGACGCTCGAGATTTTATTTTTCCTCGACGACTTTGCTGGAAATTCCCCAACAGGGGGCAGAGGTCCCCCAACGGAGGGGTCCGGGGGGTCCTTTTCCCCCTGAACCCCTCCCCCGCTAGCGCCACTCCAGGAGACATATTCTTGGGGTATCAATCTTAAATTCTGTTAAGCTCTGTCTACACTATCAAATTTCGTGTGGTGTGCCAATGGGCATAATGATGTCATTTAATTGTCAAAAATATGTGAATGTCACAGTTATTTGTCACAAAAAAAAATCTGATAATGTGGTCAAAACTTTATAATATACGTTACACCTATCGTACCGATATGTATCATTTAGAGCTACAAACTATTGTATTGGCTCGAGCTCACAGCTACTGTAGACCTACTTTACTGTAGGTTATACTTGTTGCTTGAGGCCTTGTAATTATTCATGTGAAGTAGGACATAATTAATATTAAATATAATAATGCTCTTCCATTACATGATCGTTTCTTTTTTTTTTTTAAGTACTGTAAATAATAAAGATAATTGCCGATCCAAAATAAGCATTGCTTTAGACTATGCGCTACAGAAAACGATTTTTCGCCGGCGCAGCTCTCAATTAATGTTGCTTAGTCAAGAGTACAAAGCCAGCATCCTTAGATGTTTTATATCACTGGGATAATATTAACCGATTTCTTGACATAGATTAAACAATGAAAACATTGCACTGACAAATAGGCATAACATGTAAACAATAATTTATGGTAAAACACTTTTAAATACGCAGGGCACCAAAGCCTCTTTAAGAACTGTTTAAGCGTCGCATGACTTGTTATAACTATGGAGGATTGGTACATTATGGTTAATACATTATTGATAACCTCAGATATTGGAAACTTCCACAACTTATTTACCAACCACAAGTATAACATCTATAAATTACACCTAGATCGATGACGCACACTGACGCATACACCCGTGGGGGTCCTCTGTCAGTATCTATTCAAGTTCAGATAACCTGACAACAATTAAACCAACTGTTTTACTGGGATGTAAGGCACACACGGGATCAGTACCAAAATCGATTTATTTATGTAATTAATAGCACGACTTTTTCGATTTTCTACACAATCGTGTGTACTGCAAGAAAAATACATACGGAATTGTAGTTGTCGAAGGCGAGATGTGATTCTATGATGATAAATTATTCAGATTTAAATTGAAAATAACAGTTGGCTAAAAGCAATACGGTATGTCATTGAACGAATGTAAAAACACTTTAGCCGCCATTAATAATGCACAAGAACGATAGCAAGATCATATGACAGATTAGTTCTACACACTTTTATCCATTTCTGAAGTGCATTGACTGCTAATAGAGAGCTGCCTCCCCCCCGCCCCCTTCAGGGAGAAAAACCACAATTCGTCGACGACAAAAAAATGTATACGATTTTCTACATAGGCCTATTAGTAGACCCAAAATCGATTAAATAAGCCGTTAAAACCCCCTAAATTGTCATATTTTTCGCCCCCATGTAACACTTTCGAGAGATTTTGAGCGACGTCCGACCATGCCCACTTTTTTCGTCAGGGTAATCCCCCCCCCCTGGTCGGGGACCTCGGAACCCCCTCCCCCTGACTGGCAAATCTTGGCGCCACCAATGCCTTAAAGTTGTGAGATGATGGATTCTGGTTTTAATGTTAGAGGTCACAGAGTGACGGTTGTATTGCTGGGTACGGTCAGTGAGAGATAGGACCCCGATCCCCCATAAAAAGAGAAAAAAAAGGGGAAAAAAGAAGAAAAGGACAGACAGGGCAAAGGGGAGGGGGAAGCACGGTCCCAAAACAAGCTAATTTTCGAATAGTAAGTTCTATGGCCTTCAGATGTAAGCCAGGGGTCCTAAGTTTGAAAATTCATTTCCGCGAGATTTGTTTAAATGAGCTTTCTTAGCACTTTTACTTTAATTTTGCTGCTCTTAGTGATGCCCCTCAACACTTACTTCAGTGAGACAAATGCATATAATAAGGGTAATTCTAGTAGTAAAAGCATGTGATTTTCTTGGTTGGCAGGGGCGGCGCCAGGATTTTCCCGATTGGGGTCAAAGGTCCCCGACGGGGGAGGGGTGGGGGCTGATGTCCCAAACGAGAACAAATTTGGCGTTGGGGGTTTCAAAGACTTGAGTGTTTACAGTAATTGATTTTAGAGTCTATTAATATGTAGAAAATACATATAATTTTTTCTCTCCCCGACGAATTGTGGTTTTTCTCCCCGACCGGGTGGGGGAGGGGTAGAATGCCCAGGAGGGGCAGAATGAAACCACTGTTGATTGCGCAATTTCGGGAGGCCATCCAGATTTCGAGGAGACTTGCAGAAGACTTAGGTCCCCTGAATGTAAAGGAGCAGCAGTCGTCTGGTTGCTGAAGGCATAGAACGAGTTGTCTTTCAAATAAAGGGCGAGAGTGAGTTGGTCACTTTCAGACAGAAAAGCTGTGGTCGTCTGTCAGGGGCGGATCCAGTAGGAGGAGGGGAGGTCCCCCCCCCCCGTTTTGCTACTAAATTTTAAAAATTTCAATGCAAATCAATGTTACCGGTATGTGCTACTCACTTACCTATTCTGAAACTGTTGTGCACCCACCCCTGCTGTTTGAAAAATTCTGGATCCTCCCCTGTCTGTATTGGAGTTAGCGAGAAAACTGTGGTTTTCTAACAATTAGGGATGGAGATAAGTGTGAAAAGTGATTCGTGTGTTGCCTGAATAGGAGGTCGTAGCCATCTCGCTGTCAATGTAGGTAGATAGGGGCTCTGCTCTTTCGGAGAAGAGTGATAGCCACCATGGTCTGGGGTTGACTTATATTTCATAACCATCCTTTTAGGTGGAAAGGTAGTGAGAGTGAGGTTTCTTGCCTGGTTTTTGCCCCATGGCTAGTCCGATATCCCCGACTGGCGAGGCCAATGTTTCCGGCGGAACGAATGATTTCCCCGACGGGAACATAAATGGACAGGGCCAGAAACAGTTTAGAACCCTTGGACTCCAACAATGTAGGGATTTTAAAGGCTTAATTGATTGTAGAGTCTCGCATTTTTATTCTCCCGACTAATTGTCTGTTTTTCTCCACGACGGGGCCCTGGAACCTGCACGCCCCGCTCCCTTCCCACAGGTGTCACCACTGTTGTCTTCCTTGGTGGAAAGGGAACCACCATCGGAGAGGAGGACATTGGCAAAGGCCACAAATCGTCAGACCAAAAAAAGGGAGATTGTTTTGTGTTTTCGTTAATTTTTTTGGCATTCATAATAATGAGTTAAAACTAAGAGCATTTTAAAAGTGACAAACATTGCAGTTTTCCTATATGCCATTCATGATCGGGATTCAAATTCAATATTAGGCGTTATATCTCAAATTTATAAATTTTTAATGAACCTCATAATATGTTTGGTCTGTGAATGTATTGTACTAAAATTAATTAAATAAGTTGTCGCAATACTAGTACATTTCCCTCTGTGTTTATGATCGATTTATACTTTGAGAAATATAGGCCCAGGCCTTTTTTATTAATATTTCATTGGAATATTATTTATACCTTCCTGTATACTGCAGTATTTTTATTATTTATGTAACCTTAATACTGAGAACACACAATAGAGTACAGTTGCGATGTACTCGTGAATACGAAGCACGATGATTAGCAAACAAGCCAAATATCTACCAAGACACGTCTCAACAATGTCTTTACGATGTCTTAACAATTCAGAATGTTTTAGAATCATTACGTCTCAAGCAGCTCGGGGCTATACGAGATTGACACTTGTAAGCTATTATTATACCTGGTTACTGAATCTATAATTGGAAAATTGACATGATGAGTGCAAGTTAGTTTTCTCAATTATTATTTTCTTAATTTGTATTCGTATCCAATGGTGTATCCACGGGAAGGCATGGGGACGCCGCACGGCCCTCCAGGACTTGTCTTGCAATAGAATGTTTGTTTTCATGATTAACCTATTTATAAAATTCAATGAGAGCTCTGCTCTATTTAATTTATTCGTGATCCGTGGGCATGCCTAACAACGCTTTGAAAATTTAACTTGCCTTTAATCGTGGTCCTACTAAATTATTGATCTTTTTAAAATGTTAATAGTGTTGACATGAGAAATGCAAACTAGCCGTCCAGACACATCTCACAAAATACAAAAACGTCATTATAGCATTGTGAACGTTTTTGAAGTTCGATATTGGTTACGTTATGTTAGAAAATAACATTACTACAACGTCACAGCAAGGTTTGCCACGTTATTTAGTCAGAGTCAAATCATGGTTAAATCTAGTCAAATTCAAAAAGGGTATTTATGGTGAAACAAAAATTATTATTATTTATAACGTAAATTGTTATCTAGGTTTCTGATGACGTTATGTAAATCTGACATGAGAAATGTACCCTAGTCGCTCGCACATTTCCTTCCCAGCAAACAAAAAATGTTCTTATAACATTTGCGAAACGTTGTGTCGGTTAAACGTTGTGGTTAGGTTATCGGAAAACATATCTGCGGCAAGGTTTACAAAGTTATTTAGTAAAGTAACAAGAGATGGTATCTATGATTTAAAAAAATAAAAATTAAACCAAAATACGGTGGTGGATTCAAGGGTACCAACCAACTGAGGTGGTCTAGACCCCCCGTCTGCAAACGTCCTACCCGGGCTCCCTCTATTTCGAATTCATGGATCTGCCACTGAAGTACAAGGTTAAAATTGTTAGCCGAGTCGCTTGTCTTGCGCTCATCCGACGCGCAGCCGATGATGTAATGTTGTCGACGGTAATCGATGATATGAGAAAGGAATTGAGTACAATTTCATTAAAATGACGCTGAGGTCTGTGTGGTCGATTAATAGGCCTTCGTTTTTACAGGTAACTGGTTTAGACAAGACGCTTGGCTGATTCATACAAATCAGTGCAATTTAATGGAAGACATTGATCCTACAATAGAGAGCTAATAAACCTCAAAGCGAACTCTCGCATCTTGTAATAATAAAAGATGTTTGTGTAATCTGATACCTGTCGCAATATAATTTTCATCTTGGTCAACATTCCCATAATAACCATAAAGTAACTCCTGTTCATAAAACTGTTTGTGTAAATCTTAAGTATTCTAAATCTTGTGTTTATTTTAGACTAGGCCTATTTCATAAAAGAAGTAATGCTGCTCTTCAGAATTTTGGATCGATTGAGTTTTGTTTCAAAGGCCCAAAGGCAATAATTTTAATTTTAGCCCGGGGATGAATCAATTGAGAGACAAGAAACTAAGGTATATAATTAGACCATTATAACAATAATTTGGAAAATAAAAATAATAAATAGAGAAATAGATAAAAATAATAAGAATAGCCAAAATCGTCATAAAAGTAATTTTTATACCTTATTTATAGAGGTTACCCCTCCAACTTGTCCCGGAACGCATCATGGAAACTATAATTCCAGTTTGGTTTATGCCAATTGCTGATTCCATTGCCGAAATTCAAATTTATTTTTTTAATTGGTTGGATTGGCTAAGGATATGCCACGCAGCGAACTTTTTGCCACATGCTTGAATGAATACCCGGGATTGTCGGCAGCATGCAATGAAATAGTAAATAACAAAGAACCGGTAGTTACTCGAGACGACACTGGACACTGTATACGTTTTAGAGCGATCATTATGCCTACTTTTTTACAGGTAAAGCTCAGTGAACTGTCCCCAATGCAATCGAGAACGCCACGCTTCCCGATTCGATTCGACCGACCGATCAACGTCACCGAAAGCTGTCGGCGATTACGTGTAGCGATTTTATGAAAGCATGACTAACTGGTTTGCACGCGACACTTGGTTTATTTTTCATAAAGCCGTGTAATTTGTTCAACCATGAAGCCTCCGTGGTCTAGTGGTTATGACACTCGCCTTGACAGCGAGAGGTCGCAGGTTCGAGTCCCGCCAGAGGCATTTTATTACACAATTTCTTTATTCATTTATTTACAGGACTGCATTCGTTGAGAGATGCTACACGATGTATTTATTAAGTCCTTTATTCGAACACTGTATTTACCTTTCTTTGTTGATTTATATATATATATATATAGGCCTACATATATATATGTATATGTATATATATACACATATAGGCCTATACATATATATCATATTATGTTATATATATACAGTATATATTATAATTTCATAAATATAACATTATGAAATGAACTGTGATGGCTGTGATGCATCGTTATATCATTACTGTTAGGCCTATACTCCAAAGTTGAATGTTTAAAAATATATATCATCTATATAAAATAAATATAAATAAAGTTAAGACCCACGCACACATAAATTGGATGATCAAATCACTAGGGTAATTGCTAAGCTCAATGTTGATATGAAGCGCTATAGAAACACGTACATTATCATAGCGTAACTTTTACAAAAAAAAGTGAGAGATGTTTGATTTCAATAATTCAGTTTCTTCCATTTTGATCTATGTATATGGACTGTAACGACCTCAACGAAAAGCTGCAAAATGGTTAATAGGTGTAATCGACAAAGAATGCAAAGTAGCAGCAATTACATCAGATCCAAACCGAAATTCGGACAGCATGTCCGATGCGCTGAACGCCAGATTCCTTACACACTGCTCCGGTTTTCTAATCGGTTCGGTAGGCCTTAACCCTCAATTAAATAGTTTACACCCAGATCAAATACCTCTAAAAATATGTAGATCGAAGCCTCTAAAAATATATTTCTGGAACTAGGAATAATTATATTTATTAAACTCAACAAAAGCAATAGGCTTATTTTGCTTTCAGTGCGTTTGTGTTTTTTATCTTTTGCAACAGAAATTACTGTCCAGTTTTTTGCTTGTTTGTGACTCTTTGCAGAATTCTTCTTCTACTATAGTTGATTCCTGGTGAATCCATCTTGCCCTTTCCAATGCCTTTGATCTCCTTGAAATGTGGATCTCTTGTGGCGTTCGGATTTATCACCCTACCTGATCTAGTGACGTGTATAGGTGCGTTTGATTGCGGTCGATGTGGAGATTTATTCACGCTATTCAATTCAAACTCTGCCAGACGCCTTGCTAATTCCTGCATTATATTATCTTGATTGGGAACCCCGCTCCTAGAAGACTGGACGCTAGCCCAGCCTGGATTGTGTGCTCCAACAGTGTTCACTTGATCGTACATCGGCGCCACTTCGCGCGAAAGTATTGAACTCAGAGTGTTGCGTAAACTTGACACACCACCATGTAACACTGGGTCCGAATCGTCAGATCCCTTCCAGTTGTTCTTCGTCATTAGAGATATTCTTCGATCAGTTGACTTTGGATTTTGAACTTCCCGCAGAAGCTCTTTGGGTATATCCGGTAAATATTGCATCAGGTGGGAGGGGATGTTGTGGAATCTTCTCGATCCGCCCTCGACCAACATCTTACAAAAATCTGTATCTTCTTGTGATGCTGCCAAATAAAGTGGGAAGAGGCCCTCATTGTTTTCTCTGTCAACATCAATACTTTGTCCACCAATATGCAACAGTAATTCTAAGCCGTCGTGATTGTCCGCTCTTATAGCATACATCAGAGCTGTATCGCCTTCCTCATCTTGTGTATTGTAATCGACAGTACACGCTTTCAGTACGATTTTCAAAATATCGATTCCATCATCCCGACCACATATATACATTAATGCAGTGCGTTTGTGTTTATCTTGTAAGTTAATGTCGGCGCCATGATTGATTAGACATCGAACAATAAGCCTACGAGTATCGCTTTCCTCAAGCACTGCGGCGCGCATCAGTGGCGTGCGCTCGAATAGATCTCTTGTATTCGGGTCAGCCTTCTCCTCGAGCAACTTTCTAACGGTATCATGATCTTCGTCGTTTACAGCTACTATGAGGTTTCTTGGTTTATGTTTATAACTCATAATTGACGATAACTGAATTTAGGCTAGTGCACATCCCATGAATTTGTCTTAGATCTTGAATATCATCGGCTCAATCGAGACTTTGTCAATTTCTGTTGATCCTGAGAAATAGAAGGAAGATTTTCAGTCAGCCATTTTAGTTACTCAACAAACAGCCTGTATTGGCATGACCACTCCATATATCGTAAAAACCTCGAAATAGAAGCCCAGTGGGCTTAACCTGGAGAAGACAAATTACACTATAATTCCCGCACGATTATAATCGAAACGGACTGGCTCTAGTCAACACGATTGTGTTGGTTGTCCAACAGATTGTCGCCGGCATGTTTTGATCATTAATTTTAGGAAAATGTTTTGAAT